TGGCCAGAATTACCCCAGCAACCGAGGCTCAATTGGGTTGTTGTGGCTATCCAAACAATCCCGCCCACACAGACAGTGAGTTCAGTCTTGGGGATCTCACCGCAACATGTGCCCTCCGTGATGAGGACACGATTTACAGTACACCCAACTCTGATAAGGTTGTTTTTTTAAAAAAAAATATGTTTGCGTTTAAAACAACTTTTAAATGTTCCCTGCATGCTGTAGGTGGGCAGAATTGTGCCATATCATTTAGGTCTTTAGAGGAAACAACAAATTGTGACCAGAAACAAATTGGAACGAAGTGCAGATGAGGTAAATTGATTTCAAAAATGTATAAATTCTTATTAGAATGGTAGACAAAAGACAACATGGTTAAATCAACAATGATACAATGGACTAAATATATGGGACATAATATAGAAATGACTGCATGGAAAAAGCTGTGGAAAGTAGATATGGAATTTACTTCTTAAAGAAAATTACATGAAAATGATGTATAGATGGTACTTAACACCTAACAAATGTGTAAGAAGTTTCCTCATAACTGCTGGAAGTGTATACAGGTAGATGGTTCTTCTTCTTTTTCCATATGTGGTGGGCTGGCCAGAAAGTGAGAGTATTTTGGGAAGTGATACATGACAAGATATATATATGCCCAAAGGATTTCTGTTTGGGATTATAGGGGCAGAAATCCCAAAAAGTGTTAAAGTTGTTTATGTATGTATCAACAGTAGTTAGGATTCTATATGCACAGAAGTGGAAGGAAGATGTTCAAACTAAAGAAGAATGGATAAATAAGATAATGGACTATGCAGAACTGGCAAAATTAACATCAAAATTAAGAGAATCTTTTGACGGGTGTTTTATGAAGAAGGGATGCCTTTTTTAGACAATTTAAAGAAATATCAAAGGATGATGAACTTGCAAGCAGGGTTTTAGTTAAGAGCAAAAGAAGTAAATAGATTATCGTGATTGTGATTTAATAGATAGAAGATAGGGTGAAGCAGAAGGGGAGAAACAACAACTCCATGGGAAATGGGGTGGACGGGTGATGTAAATAAGAGAAAAGATGAAATTGTGTTTTGATTGTATATTTAAAAAATGTTGAAACTTAATAAAACATAATGGAAAATCGGAAGTGCAGATGAGGCAAAATTGGAGTGATATGATTTGTCAAACAGGCTCCAAAGATCAGCAGCTGCAGCATTTTAGAGCAGTTGAAATTTCTGAATACTTTGACAGACACCTTCACATAGTATGCATTCCACTAATCCAATAAAGATACCTGTACAAGCACATGAAAATGTGCTTATTTGTTCACATGAGTGATAAATTAACCTGTCAATTTCAGTTTCTTGTTTTTTCAATCTTATGTTCAGTTCTCCACATTTTCACATCAGTCTGCATTTAAAAAATAATAATAAAAGTCCCCATGAAAATTAATTGGTATTTTAGTGCAAATTTCTTCTAATATATACATTTGAATGAAATATTCCCACAGTGTAATTTCCTCCAATACAATGCATTTTTGTATATTATTTTTACATATATGTTATTGTGATGGGACACTTTACCCTAGTATATGATTTTTTGTACATATTACTTGGCTGGAGAACACCTTGCAAAATTCAGAGAAGTGAGAATTGTGAAGGATGACTGTTTTGCTCTGCATATTCTTTCAGAAACTGAATAAGATAATTTCACCTTTAAATGTAATTTGAATCAAAGTTCTCCCGCAACTCAAGGTCCCACAAACACACATGGCTGTCAGTAAGACACCACATAGCAAGCATCTTAATGCAATCAGTCAATCAGTCTGCCTGTCTGCATACATATCTATTTTGCAGTGATGTATTTTACATTTGATAATTTGGAAACCGAGGAAGAAATTTGAATATGGAGCATTTCAGAAGCTTAAATAAACTGCATTTGTTTTGGTAAAATTGTTCCTGGCCAACAGGTAATATTTGCTATGATTACTTTATGAATACATTTTTAGTTATCAAGAGATGACCTGAGAATATTTGATAACCTTTGTGGGGATAGAAGACTGGAATGTGTGATGCCTAAACTTCATTTATAATCTTAAAGTCAAGTTAACATACTTATTTAATTGGTTGGGTGCTTTTAAGAATTTGATGGATTTATACATGTACTGAGCTGCCATTCCTGTCCCTGGGAGAGATATATTGTATTAAGGAACAACCTGGAAACAATTCAAAGTAGCACAGAACAGACATGACGTCTTGTTTGTTCCTATATTGTTTCAAGTTGATTGCTATGTGCAGTTAACATTTCATCCATGTCCTTGCTTAGACATTGAGTGTGTCATTATACCGAATGTGGCCTGGCACATATTTCCCCTCTGGGCTCTCTATCTGCCCCTTGGAACTGTCCCCAAGCCAGAATCCAAGCCAATCCACACTCCTTCACTTTAGGCCACACCTATTACCAGGGTTTGGGGTTTATTTTTCAGCCGGAGCTCACTGGAGCTCAGCTCCAGCACCTCTCAGGTGGGGGCCATTGTCATTCTAAGAGTACAATGGAGAAGTTTATGGTGAGCTCTGGCACCTCTTTTTCTAGAAAAAGAGCACGGCTTTCTGCCCTTGAGTGTTTTTGCCTGTGTGGAATCTGTCCTTGATCTCTGAAAATGTATCTTTTGTGCCTGAATGGAGGTAGAGGGTTTTGTGGGTGGGTGTGGAAACTAGACTACTGGAACCAAAATAAAATTTGCTGTGGTTGCTCCACCTGCTTTTGCCCATGAGGGAACATTTGCCTGCTGAGGGCCTGCTTGGAATATGAGTCCCCTCCCCAAACGTATTTAGGGCAATGTGAGCAGTGCAGTGCAGTGGGCACACACCCGAGGAAGACACCATCTCAGAGCCTGCTAAGTGCTTGCCCGGCTTCAGGAAGGAGGTGCAAGGCTCTGACAGGGTCCTAGAGCCCTCCTACCTCCTCCCCAAAGCCAGACAAGCACTTGCTGGGCTTTGGGAAGTAGGTGTGAGGGCTCTAGGACCAGGGCCGTCTTACCCATAGGCGCTAGGGGTGTGGGGCACCCGGGTGCCGGGCTCTCAGGGGCGCCAGGCCAAAAGTCTGGGGCCCAAGAGTTGAGTCCGGGGAAGGGCCGTCAATCGGAGTGCTGTGGCAGGCTCTTCTGCTGCAGGTGGCTCTGCACCACAAGTGTAGGGGCAACTGAGCCAGCAAGAAGCTCCACCCTCCTGCATGCCTCAGACTGGGCAACCGGGTATCACAGTCCAGGTTACAGGCAGTCGGAGTCTCGGCTTGGTATGTCAGGACTGGGGTAGAGGATGGGATGCAGGAATCAGCAGTCCAGGGGTCAGGAAGCCAAGAGTCCGAGGGTCGGGAAACCAGGAGTCAGGAAGCCAAAGGTCCAAGAGTCAGGATACCAGGAGTCAGGAAGCCGAAGCACAGCTAGGTGGGTAGCATGTTGCTGTGGCAAAGAGCCAGAGGGAAATGCTGGTCTTATACAGGTATACCCTTCCCAGCCCTTGCCACCAGGTGCTAGGAGTCTTCTGTCAAGCCTCATCTGTGCGGTCACGCCTTGCCCTTCCTAGCCAAACTCAGGAAGGCCCCAGTCCTGCGAGGCCCTGCCAGTCACAGGGCCTGGATCCTGCACATACTCCTGACACCGGGGGGGGGAGGGGGAGGCGGATCTTTGCACCCCGGCACCACATATGTTTAAGACAGCCCTGTCTAGGACCCCGCCAGAGTCTTGCCAAAGCCTGACTTAATCCAGCACCATGAACGCTGAGGGGAGGGTGGCAAATGACCTCAAACAGCGCAGCATACTTTACTGTTCGCTTGTGAAACATGGACTACTTATAAACAGCATCTCCAGCTCCTTGAAAGAGTCCATCAATAGCGTCTCTGAAAATTTTTACATATCACTTGGGAAGACAGGCGAACTAATGCCAGTGTACTGAAACAAGCCAAGATCACCAGTGTCAAAGCAATGATTCTGCAGCATCAACTTCGTTGGACTGGTCATGTTGTTCGGATGCCTGATTATCGTCTTCCAAAGCAACTACTCTATTCCAAACTTAAAAATGGAAAGTGTAATGCTGGTGGTGAACAAAAGAGGTCTCTCAAGGCAAATCTTTTAAAAATGTAGTATAAACACCAACAGTTGGGAAATACTGGCCTGCAAGGGCTCCAGTTGGAGAACAGCCTTTACCAAAGGTGTCATGGACTTTGAAGACTCTCGAACTCAGGACGCAAGGGAGAAACATGCTAACAGGAAGGCACGTTTGGCAAACCCTCACCAACAATCTTACTTGGCCACGAGTGACCGCCAAAGAAGAAGAAGGGAGAAGGGTGGAGCCAGTGCAGAAACATTATTAATAATGATATTAATATGCCCTGGGTGGCAAACAAAACTATAAAAACATCTTAAAACCATGTCAATACAGATGCAGGCTGGAACAAAGCTCTACTTAATAGTCTTGTTGGAAGAGGAATATATTCAGTTGGTGCCAAAAGGACAATGGAAATGGTGCCAGTCTAATATTTAAGAGGAGGGTATTCCAAAGGGTCGGTGGCATTGAAACCAAAGGCCCAGTTTTTATATTGCATGGAATGAACCTCCTGATAAGATGGGATCTGCAGATGGCCCTCAACAGCAGAATGCAATGGTCAGCTGGGTATATAAGGGGTGAGACAGTCACCACCACCCTCATCTTTGTCTTGGGGGTTCCCAAGTTGCTTGGGGATGGGACAGTGCAGAGGCATTGGCATCGTAATGATAATAATAATTATCACATTTTTTCCTGACTGCTCCCAAGGCTTTTGTTTGACACAGAGGGCACCCATTTCAGAAGCATCATTATTGCCATCACCTTTTCTTCCCCCACAGGAGGAATTGTTCCGATGCTGTTTGGGAAGAGGGGAGTACAGTGCAAAGGCAGAAACATTATCATTATCCCATGATGCACCTCTGATTTTGATATAGTCACATTTATTTAAGTGAATAATAGCTGGATACCTGGATAGCTCAGTTGGTTGGAGCATGGTGCTGATAATGCCAAGGTTGTAGGTTCAATCCCCATATGGGACAGCTGCACATCCCTGCTTTGCAGGGGGTTGGACTAGATGATCCTCAGGGTCCCTTCCACCTTCACAATTCTATTATTCTGTGAGTCAAACAGGGCCCTGAAGATCATAAATCCATTACTGGTTTATTCATTATGGTGAAGGAAGGGCAGCTCTTGCTCATTCAGCTTGGGACTTTATTCACCACCTGCTTAGTGTGTGGTTTCCTTTTCCTTTTGCTAAATCCGCAGGCAGATGTGGGGTGGGAATCCACTGCTGAGTCAGAAGAGGTGGGGGTGGGAGAGAATCTGTAAAACTCCTTTTTAATGCCTACTTGGTATATTGCATCTTCAACTGCTCTTGTAAGCTTTCCAAATAGTTCTCTTTAAATTAATGAGGTAATATACATTTCCTAATCTGTTCTTGCCTTGCCTTAGGGATGTGGGTCACAGGACTTTTTAACATATTAAGTGGATGGGCAGTCACCCAGCTAATAAAGCAGTTGCCCTGGTATCCCCCACACAATGTTTGTTGTGTAATGATCACAACTGCCAGAAGAGAAGGCTTTGCGCACATGTGCGCATGCAGATACACAATGATTTGCTCCTTAAACATTCAGTTGATAATAGTATTCTGAACATCACCACAGAGTATCAGGCTTATATAGCAAGGTCAGGAATGTAGTAAGCAGAGTAGGGTTGCCATATGTCCATAATTTTCTGGGCGTACCCAGAATACTGCAGCTGAAAGCAGTGTCCGGACGGAAATTGGCTAAATGTCTGGGATAATCCAGATGTATGTTGTTCTTGCCTCAAAAATAGCTCATAAACGTCCAATTCCTTTGTGATTATACCAAAAAAAGCTCAACAATTTTTCTGTCTGGATTTTTACTTTTTGAAATATGGCAGCCCTAAGGATGTGTTACATGGAATGTCAGTCCACTCTCTCCCCAATGAGCTTTGGAAAACTCATTTTTTTCTATAAGAACACAGAACCCTCCTGGATCAGACCAAAGGACTATCAGGTGGTGGTGATGATGATATCCTGCCCTTCCTTATGAAGGAGGCCAGGGTGGCAAACAGATCTACACTTTTAAAACACAAACAAAACAAAAACATTCTAAAACAACTGAATCATTCCTACCCCTCCAGACTGATATTTTATTATGTATGTATCCCACAACATGTTCTTGACACAATAGTAGTGCATTAGTGGTGGACTTAGCCTGTTTTATATGCTGTTCTGTGATGCTTTCCCAGGGCTACCAAATTACTGCTCTTCAGAGGATCAACAGGGCAACAACAGTGGGAGAAAACTCCCTTTCACACACACCAGCACCTACAACCCAGAAGATTGTTGTATGAAAAGTTACAGGATTTCAGCAGAAAGCTACAGGATATGCACTGATTGGAAAGTAAGTAGTATGACGACCTCAGAACGTTTGCAGGTGCAAATAGTATTGAAAGCAGGATCATGTATGACTGCCCTGACAGTATCATGAGACCAATCATCATGAATATGCAGAAACCAGGATATAGAATATACTGTAGATTTACAGTCCCAGGTATAAAGTAAAGCATTTCATCAGCTGTATCTGTAAACTCATTAATCCACCTCATATTTAGCAAATAACTGAAGAGCCAGAAAAAGTGGTGTGACTTTCTGTAAACTTTATCACAAGAGACAAATTGAGAATATGATATCATAGAATGTAACAAACATAAATAGGCTAGAGAATGTGTCTCTGCTTGAAAATTCTCCCAATCTATTTTGAGAGCTTCTACTGGAGCATCACCAACATTGTCAATAAAGGATGGCTTCATAGTGAGATAATGGGAAATCCTAGGGTTTTGCCCATGCAGTGGAAGAGATTAATAGCAGCAGCTCTTTGGGAGGGGGGTTGAAAAATTGGAATCCCATCATCTCTGCACATGTGACTGTTTTCAGACTAAGCTGAGAGCTAATTTATACCCACTCTAAGACCTCTTAAGATCATCAGCAAGCGTAAGTTAGGATTAGTTTCTATTATATTTACTATTCCCCTTTAAAACATCAGCTATAAAAGCTGCAACATAGCTCTTGAAAGGCTGGACCATTGTCTGCAGCATAAACATTTGAAGGCACAATTTAGAAGACTGGATTTACAATAATCACAGGGACCAAAAAACATGTTGGAAGGCACTACTGGGTAATATGGAATATAGAAAGTTGCCTTATACTGAGCCAGGTCATCTATCTCAGCAGTGTCTGCACTGACTGGAAGCCTCTCTCAAAGTATTCAAGCTTCCTCAGTCCTATCTGGGGTGCCAGGGATCCAAGTTGGGACTTTCTACATGTGAATCAAATGCTTTAGCACTGAGCTACAGCCCTACAGATTCTGAGGAGATGGTAATAATGATTTAAATGATGGTTATAACTGTGTTTCGCCATTTAAAATCATATCAGCTGAGCATGTGTACATGACAGCTAGGTCAGGATTGATCCTCTGTCCGAGGTTTCCCCCATCTGCACATATTCAGTGGAAGGTCAGAATGCAGCCAACACACCTACAACTCTGTGGCTTCCAGGCAATTTCATGGTGATCTCCACATGGAGTTCATTGCAGTCACCCAACCTGGAGGTTACTAGTGCACAGGCAACAGTGGTCAGCCTGCTCTGGTCTAGAAATTACATAAAATAACAATAAATTAAGACAAAAAAGATAAAATACAAATAAAAACCCTACAAATTTATAAAGTCTTTAAAACTCTCCTCCTGCCCCAGTATATTATGATGTAAGAGCAGACAGGATAGAAATATTCCTATAAATAACTACATAAAATAAAAGTAACACTAATTGAAAATAGCTTCAACACTATACACAAGTTTAAGAATACAGCATATTATTATTATTATTATTATTATTATTATTATTATTCATTATTCATTTATTTATTCTTAGACTGTTTCTACTAAAAATAGTCTCATGGTGACTTAATAGTATAAAAATAAAATACAAAACTAAACCAAAAGTGGCCAAGGAGATTTGTGAAGCTGAAGTACCAAAATTAGTTTGCTTTTGAACTCAAAGAAAGTACATCTGTTTAATATTTGGTCCATTTTCCTTGATGAGTAATGGATATGCTGTTAATTTTGGAGCAAGTCTCCAAGCTTCTCCATTATCCAGACTAAAAGCTGCTTTAAAAAAGAATTTTTCTCTACAGTTCTTAAGGGAAAACGTAGCATCTCATTTTAAAATCTGTATTTTAAAGGGGAAAAGAAACCTATATATGTTGAGCTTATTGCAAAAATGCTGGGCAAATTCAAATTTGGCTCTCTGTAGTATACATGCTAAGAGGCATGATCAGAGTTCAAGGACACATTCCAACTTAGCAAAAGGACCTGAGGTTGCCTGCAAAGGGCGTGGCCTGAGGAGAGTCTCAGGGGCTGAACAGTGAGGTTTGGAGGACCTTGAGGTTCCCAGCTATGTAATAAATGGATACAGTACTTGAGGAAGAAAGGCAATGAGATAGGAGTATCAACAAATGCCTTCTGAAATAAGAGGGTCTCTTCACCACCTACCAGAAAAGCAAAGCAGATGAAATCAGGAGGACCTCCTGAAACTGGAAGCAACCACCAAAAAGGCCCTGTTTAAAATAGAAAAACTCTAGCTGAGACAATCTTCCTCGACACTTTTTTAGAGTTCTTCTAATATATTACACATTTCCCCCTTCACTGAAAGGTAGCTTATACAATTGCTAAAACACGTCATTACATGGATGAATCCATCAAAAATGTTCTTGTTGGTAAGTGCTACCTACATAAAAGGACTTAATGGTCACAGCTGTGATGTTATCAGAAAAGGTGGCAGGCAGAAAAAAGCAGCCAAGCCCAGCTTCACTGTGGTTATTTATGTGTTTAAGAGTCTATGTACTGGGCATTTATTGCTAAAGTGCCTTTCAGAATAGTTTTCTTCTATTTCAAATATAAAAGCACCAATTACCCAAAAGAGGGAAAGAGAAGAAAAAGGAGTAAAGGAAACTGCACTAACTTGTTAGTGATATTATTTTTCATGTGAGCCATTGTTAGAAATCTTGCGTAAATTTATATGTATGCATATCAGAGTTGGGAAACCTGTGGCCCTCCAGATGTTGCTGGACTCCAACTTACATCAGCCTCTGCCAACATGGCCAATGATGGACCACAGGTAAGAACAGAGAACAAATTTTCATTTAAAGGGAGTCTACCTAATTCACACTTTCTGAAACAGTATGTGAACTGAAGCACAACCATCCTTCAAAATCCGCACTTCTCCAAATTTTGCAAAGCACAAGTAATGTGAACAAAAATGCATGTATATTAGGGTAAGGTTTGCATTAAAATAGATATATTCATGAAGATAATACACAAAAATGCATTATGTTAGAGAATATTGCTTTGTCACAATAGATATATTCAGCAAAATTACATACAAATATGTATATATTAGGAGAAATTCACATTAAAATGTGAATGGATTTCCAAAATAACACTGACTGATATGGAAATGTACAGAACTAAACTGAAGACAGGAAAAATGTAAAACTAAGAAAAACTGATATGGATATATTTGTCCAACCCTTCTCAGTGGATTAGCTATGATAGTTGAATCAAAAGTAGGTTAGGCCAGTGAGGTTACCCAGAAAGCTTTTCACATGAAAGAGGATTTCAACCCTAGTATCCGAAATCCTAGGTCCAAACTCGTTGTGGGAATCCCTTCCTTCAGAGGTTCATCTCAAGTCTTCACTGTACAGTTTTCAGCAAATGCTGAAAATGCGCCTCTTTACCCTGGCCTTAACACCTGAGAGGTGTGTTTTTGGGATGCATCCTACTGTGATAGTTTCTGTTTTTAATTTTGGATTTTAATTGTTGTAACCTGTCCTGGAACCTGCTGGTGAAGGGTGAGTAATAAGAACAAACCACTGCACTAAGCTAGCTCCTTTCTGAGAGCCCTGACAAAACAGGAGGCAGCGCTGCCTGCAGATACTGCTCTTCTCCCTGCCCCTA